CATTTTCTCGATAATAGTCTTTAGATTCTTGTTAGCCGCCTCAATTGCTCCATTTTCTTGAGGACTATAAGGAGAAGAATGATGGTGTTGAATACCATACTTTTGTAGCAATTCTTCGCATTCTGCTTGAAAGTGAGTTCCATTGTCACTTATCAACTCATGTGGGACTCCATATTGACAAATAATGTTCCTTTCGATAAAGAGTGCTACATATTTTGCGGTGAGTTTAGCGTATGACTGTGCTTCAACCCACTTCGTGAAGTAATCGATTGCTACTAGAATGTATTTGTGACCTCCTGTCCCAGGAGGAGTGATTTTTCCGATGATATCAATTCTCCATGTTGAAAATGGCCATGGTGATGTGTAGGTTTAGAGTAGAGATGGAGGAACATGTTTAAAGTTAGCATATATATGGCATTTAGGGTAATACCCCGTATTTTTTATACGTATTTTATTTAATATATATATTTTATAAGGGTATTTAAATAACTCTAGCATTTTAATTATGATGTTTTAATTATTTATCCCATGTAAATTGGGAATATTTTACAAAAGGAGAAGTCGTTTAATTAATTAATTAATAGAAGTTGGGGTTTTATTTTAGGAAATTATGATTTTTAACAAGTTTTAGTAGGGAAGGGATTAGGAAAAACTAAAGGAGGAAAGTTTAGGGTAAAAGGGGAGATAGAGAAGGGGTATAAATATCCCTCTTATGAGGCAATTCAACGTTGCCCAGAGTGGAGAAAACCCAAGGTAAACTTCTCTCCCTTTTCTCTTTATTTTTCTCTTTCTTTTTTTTCTTTCTCTCTCCTTCCCTTCCCCTCTTGCCTTGCACACCACCACCGGCTGCCACCACCACCACCGGTGGGCCGCCGGCCACCAGCACCAACCGGCAGCCGGCAGCAGCGGCGACCACCGGCAGTGGCGCCGGCCCCCCTGCTGTCGGCAGCCCCTTTTTGAAAAAAAAAAAAAGGTTTTTCTTGTTTAAAAATCAAATCTTTATTACCTATAACTAATCTACGATATAGTCTAATTATAAATTATGAGTTTGGAGATTTAATTTTGATGTTTGGTTATTGTAATTGTGTGAATTAATTTTCAGATTTGGTTTTTAATTAAAAAGCCCCAATTTTTGAAACCCTAGGTTCTTGTTTCATGATTTATTGAAAGATTATGATGTATAATAGGGTAGGCCTTTGTTTTAAGTGTTTTAAAACTATACTACAGCAAGTTTTAAGTATAATAAAGAGCTGGAATTTTATGTAAAACACTTGATATTAGGTTTCTTGAAGAAATTTTAATTACCCATTAATTGGGACTTAATTTATAGTGTTTTAAATATAATTTCAGCTTATTCTAATTAAATTATAAAGGGTTTTAAAATAGTATATATTGTTGGAAATTTGTTTAGAGTGGATATTAATACTCTATTATGGATTTAATGTGTAGGAGACTTTGAAGTAAGCGATTTCTACTAGTCGTGGCAGTTTTAATAGCGTACTCAAGGTACGTACGCGTACTTAGCATATTTCGGTGATGTAGAATCATGCTAGGTTTGTTTGTAATTGGTTATATGTAGAATCATGCTAGGTTTGTTTGTAATTGGTTATAAGTAGAATCATGCTATGGTTTATGTATGGAATTGTGAATTTATGGTGTCTGTGATTGAATTGTGAAGCATGAATTATTTGTGATGGTTTTAGATTGGAAGACTATATTTTGGGCATGTTGCGTTTGAACCACAATTTTATTTATGGCATGTTAGAAGGCATGATTAATTAAACTACATGTTTAATTATGTTTGGAATATTAAAAAGGAATTTTATTATGGTTCAAATAATTTTTATTGATGCTTAAAGCATGAGGAAGGAGCTATATAAGTGTCTATGTACACAAGGAATAAATTGTATGTTAGTGCCTTTGTGCACTTAAGGTGTTTTTAACACCGAGGGATAGGATTTTTGGCGCATTATGCGTTTAAGATGTCTTTGACACTGAGGTAGAATTAAAAAGGGTTCAACATTAAATAATATGTGGTCACTAATTATTCAAGAATTAAATTGGTATGTTTGTTTGATTGAATAATTATTGTTGATTGACTTATTATGCTTTGAGAGTCATCACCAAGTCTAATAATATGTAAATAACGTAAAGTGAAAGAGATTACGCACCAAAACTCTTGGAACGTATATACCTTGAGTATGAACAATGGGGGGGTTATGGGGTTTTATACTTAACCATAACTTCCAATGGAGTACAGGACGTTGTATATTCCTTTTTATTATTTATTATTATGCGCAGGAATTCCGCCACCTTTGTGTGGTTTTGTCGCTGGCACGGTTAGCTCCCGTGCCAGTTAACCTCAAATTTATTTGGGCGAGGTTAATAGGTGGAAACCCGTTCGATGCGTAATCAATGCAAAAATGAATTAATTAGGGTCTAGTCATTGTATTGTGTTGATTGGTGTGTTTGTGAACAGGTGCAATGAGGTAAGTGTGTGTTGATAGGTGAAAGCATGTTAGTGTGGCTATTTTACGCTTATGTACTCAGCTTTGCTAATTGTGTGTGTTTGTGTTTTTGGCCATGTCTTTACCTTGGCCCTATGATGACCCATTTTTAATGGAGAGTAGTGGAAACAAGTAGAGATAAACTTTTCAGGTATTGAAGCATGATCATGATGGGGCATGAGTGAAGAGTGAATCCTATTAGGTTACAATGTGTTTTATGCTTTATTTATTTATGATATATTATGTGTGGACTAATATAAAGGTTTGATTTGGGAACGGTTTTCGAATAAGGGCCTTTAATGGTTCCAAGTTGTAGTTTGATTTTATTTAACTTGTTCGTTGGGTTTTAAACTTTATTTTCGTTCGGTTTTAAACTTTATTTTTGTTTGGTTGACTTTGGGTTGACTTGTTTAATCGGTTTTTAATTTTGAGTCTTCCGCTGTGTATCTTTGATAATTGCCTTAGCCGTTTTAACGGTGGTGGTAATGTCTTAATTATTCCTAAATCGTATTTTTAAAAGAGTAGAATGAGTATTTAAAGAAAGGAATTTATAGGGTGTTACAAAGTGGTATCTGGGAGCTTAGGTTGAGATTTTAAATTACCACTAACCCTAAAACATTTTTCTTACTTGATTTAAACTTGGCCAAGTGTTAATTTAATTATTTAACGATGACTGCTCTAATTTTATTTTTTTTATATATGTATACATATATATATATATATATATATATATATTTACATTTTTTTATATAGAAAAAATTATATATAAGGGCCGAATTTTTTTATTTATTCATTTATTTATTTATTTATGGTCCGAAAATTTTTTATAGAACACTCGATTTTTTTTTGTGTCGAGAAATTGTTTTTTTTTTTTAGGGCCGAAATTTTGATTATTTATTTTTTTTGGGGTAAATATGTATACTTTATTTTTTATGAATTGCAGGAAGAAAGGATTAAGGTAAGTATTATGTGTTAAAAGCTTTTATTAACATGTTGGTGAGCTTGGGTAGGAGAAAGAAAGGGCATATAGGCTAAGATTTAAATTTCTCCCTAGGTGCATAATTTTATTTTGAGTGATCAAGCATGTGATTTGACCAGGTGTTTGTTGATGAAGGCATGAAAAATGTGTATTATTCTATGTGAACCCTAAAGATTGTATGATTGAACACTGAACTTTGTATTTTTTATTTTATTTTATTTTATTTCTTTAGGGAAGGGAAATCTTTTCTAAGCCTTTTTCTCTACAAGATGCCAATCTTTCCTAGCAAATTTACCCAAATGGGATCTCTTGTAAAGAAAAATAATGAACACCCCTATTACTTTGTAGAAAAGATCAGATACTTTTGTTCCTACATGAGCAATGTCCTACGGGAGAAAGTTTATGACACCCCTGATCGTATTTCGGCAATGATTGTCCATTGTCTTCCAGAGGATCCCCCTTACATTGCTGTTAAACAAAGATTTTCTGATTTTTACCTTCCAGGAGATGTCCCAAATTACCATAAATACAGAGACTATTATGGCCAGTGGTATCCAGATTATATTTTCTTAACTAAATATCTCGTAAGGGTGGAAAAAGCTTATTGTCTGTGCTTAAACCTTCCCTACCCTGACTACTGCTATGATAACCCAGTAGGGAACAATCCTCCTCCTAATCAACAACCAGGAAATTCTGCTTCTTCTTCTTCTTCTTCGTCAGGGGGTAATCAAGCAGAGAATGGAGAACAACAAGAGGGTAATAGTTCACTTATGGACATTTCTGATCCAAATCCACCTCCAACTCTAATAATTATAGATATTTCATCGGATGAGGAAGAAGAAGGGGAGTTTGTACAAGTGGAACCTGAACTTGAGTCACCTGAACCTGAGTCACCTGAACCAATGGAAGAGTCAAATGATTCTAATTTCGATCCTTCAAGCTACAAGCAATCCACCGACAAAAGGGACAACGTTCGAAAGGATTAGATCTTATGACTTTCCTCGCCACGAATTCATAGTCTTTATTTTAAAATTTATTTGTTATTTCAGTTTTAGCTAATAAGTGGCATGACCACATCAGTTCCTGGAACACACTTTTTATTTTAATATCTTCAGTCTATTTTAAATTAATAAAATCTTATTTATTTCCTTGATAAATTTTTATTAATAAATTCTTTTGTTTTACAAATCTTCCGTTTCACACCATTATTCCAGTAATCACCATTCCAAGCAACTTATCTCCAACAAACATTTATAAGCTGTGAACGTCTATGTGAATTTTATTTAATTTTTGCTTTTTGTGATGCTTTATTAAATGCATGGTTGGTTAGAAACCAATAATTAATTGATAAAGCTACATTAAGGGAATTTTTAGCAACTGCTATCCCAAATTGTTAGCTTCAAATTCTACTGTAAATGTTTAAAGGTCGTTAGGAAATAGACGAGTGTACGTCTTGAGAGCTAAACCTAGCCATTTCTAATAGTTATCCCTGTCCTATATTCAGGAGAAACAAAATGGCAGGGGGAAGAAGTTCAGGTAGTGGTGGAAACGATTTGAATGAAGTAGTGAGGCAATTGGCAGTAGTTGCCCAACAACTGGCAAGTAATTCAACTGGTAATGGGGATGCTCAAGGGGAGCTCTTTAAAAAGGTGGCGCAAAGCAAGCCACCAACCTATCAGGGCGAGCCTGACCCTGTTGTGTTGGAAAACTGGTTAAGGGAATTTGAGAAACTATTTGGAGCTATGGGATGCCCTAAAACTCAAAAGTGAGTTGTGCTACCTACTACCTGAGGGGTGAAGCTGACCTTAGGTGGCAACAAAACGGGGCTACCATTAGAGCATTACCGGGGTTCAACTGGACCAAATTCCAAGAAAAAGTGAGAGACAAGTTTTATCCTAGCTTTTTGTAGAAGCAGAAGGCTGAGGAATTTTCAAACTTTAGGATGGACAAGATGACAGTTACGGAATACTACACCAAGTTTATTGAATTATCCCGTTTTGCTGAAGGGTCTGTCTCTACGGAGAAAGCAAAAGCTAGGAAGTTTGAGAGTGGGTTAACTACTGATTTGCAGTTAAAGCTGTGCAGGGAGGTATTTGAGACCCTAAATGAAGTATATGGAAGGGCCGCACACCTTTATGCTCTGGAAGAAAAGAAGAAGAAAGAGTTAGCTGAAATAGAAGGAAGAGAGAATAGGAAGGAAGTGGGACAAGTTTCTGGAAACCAACAGGGAAACCAAAATGCTTTTAAGAAACAGAAGTACCACCATAACAATAACTTCCACAACAATAACAACTTCCATGGTAATAACCGTCAAGGGAACCGTAACAACAATGGAGGGGCTAGAAACAATAACCAGTGAAACAACAAGAATGGAAGAGTTTATTTTTGCAAAAGGTGCAAGAATAACTACCCTGGATTACTTGTTGTTTGTCGTGAGGGCAATGCGGTCACTTGTCGTTTTTGTAATAAGCTCGGGCATAGAGAATATGAGTGTTTCTCCAAGAATAGTAATGGGAACAGGAAAAACAATAATAATTCAGGGGTAAACCAAAGGAATTTCCAACAGAACAACAACAACTTTGCTGGGAACAAGGGAGTGCAACAAAATGGGGCAAGGAACATTAACACTACCAGTGGGAATAACCAGCAGAAGATTGGAACTGCAGGGAAACTGAATTTTCTGAGTAAGCATGAGGTGGATGCCACGAAAGATGTTATCACTGGTACTTTTTCTATTAACTCTATTCCTGTTAAAGTATTGTTTGATTCTGGTGCAACTTTTTCTTTTATTTCTAAGGCTGTTGTTGCAAAACTTAAAGACTGCTTAAAGACAGTAGAGGTAGTAGATTTACCAATAACCATTCCGACAGGTGGGATAGTAAATTGTACCACAACTTTTAGAAATGTGCCTTTAGAAATAGAGGGAAAGATATTTTCGTCTGAACTTATTGAGTTCGGGCTAAGCGACTTTGACCTTATTTTGGGGATGGACTGGCTGAGTAATTATAATGCTGAGATTAGTTGTAGATCACAGAAAGTGAAGATGGTCACAAGTGGAAATGAATCAGTGACTTACTGGATGAATGGTAAAACCAAGTATCCAAGGGTAATATCAGTGCTAAAATTAGCAAAGTACATGGAGAAGGAACATCCAGTATATTTCTGCAGTGTTAAGGATATGAACCATGAACAAGTGACAAATCCAGAAAATATAGAAGTGGTCAACGAATTTCTGGATGTTTTTCCGGAGGAGATCCCTGGAATGCCACCTAAGAGGGCAATCGATTTTACCATAGATTTAGTTCCCGGAACAGCCCCAATATCCAAGGCACCATATCAAATGGCACCTGCAGAAATGAGTGAATTAAAAGAGCAGTTACAAGATCTGTTGGACAAAGGGTACATTAGACCAAGTGCTTTTCCTTGGGGAGCACCTATCTGTTTGTGAAAAAGAAGGATGGAAGTATGAGGTTGTGCATTGACTACAAGGAACTAAATAAAGTAACCCTAAAGAATAAGTATCCCTTACCAAGAATAGATGATTTGTTTGACCAGCTGAAGGGTGCCACAGTGTTTTCAAAGATCGACTTGAGATCTGGGTATCACCAATTAAGGATTGCCGACGAAGACATTCCAAAAACCGCATTTAGGACAAGATATGGGCATTATGAATTTACAGTCATGCCTTTTGGATTGACCAATGCCCCAGCAATCTTTATGGATTTGATGAATAGAGTATTTCATCAATTTATGGATAAGTTTGTAGTTGTGTTCATAGATGATATCCTGGTGTACTCGAAGAGTAAGGAAGAGCACGCAGAACACCTAGGGGCAATTCTGCAAACACTAAGAGAAAACCACCTCTACGAAAAATTCTCTAAGTGTGAGTTTTGGTTGGAAAAGGTAGCCTTCTTGGGACATTACGTGTCCAAAGACGGAGTAGAGGTAGATCCAACCAAAATAGAAGCAGTTAAGGGTTGGCCGACACCCAAGACAGTATCTGACGTGAGAAGTTTCTTAGGTTTAGCAGGGTATTATAGACGTTTTGTTAAAGATTTTTCCAAAATTGCTAAACCGATGACCACCTTGATGAAGAAGGACAAAAAGTTTGAGTTAGACGATAAATGTGAAGAAGCGTTCCAACTCTTGAAACAGAAACTAATCACAGCACCAGTACTTACATTCCCGGATGATAGTGGACTATATGATATGTACAGTGACGCATCAAAGAATGGCTTAGGATGCGTCTTATGCAAAATGGGAAGGTGATTGCATATGCATCGAGACAGTTAAAGAAGCATGAAGTAAACTATCCCACTCATGATCTGGAATTAGCTGCAATCATTTTTGCGCTAAAAATTTGGCGCCATTATTTGTATGGGGTGAAATGTAGAATTTGCACGGATCACAAAAGCTTAAAATACATTTTCACCCAAAAGGACTTAAACTCCCGTCAGCGAAGATGGTTAGAGTATATGACTGATTATGATTTGGACATACAATACCACAAAGGGAAAGCGAATGTGGTTGCGGACGCTCTAAGTCGTAAGACTAGTCATGGAATCAACTCGTTGGCAGTGGCTAATGAACTATGTAGAGAAATGATGAAATTGAATCTGGAGGTCGTAGGATGGGGAGTACCAACGGGTATTCTTGCAAATCTAAGCATCCAACCAACTATCTTTGACGAGATTCGAGTCAACCAAGAGGGGGATGTAAAGTTGGATAGGATTCGCGAGAAAATTAAGCAGGGAAAGACTACAGATTTCAAGATCCACGAAGATGGGAGTTTGAGGTACAAAAATAGATGGTGCATACCGCAGAAATGTGAGGAGGTGAAGAGGAAGTTGATGGAAGAAAGCCACAATACACCTTACTCTGTACACCCGGGAGGAGACAAACTATATAAGGATTTGAAGAAGATGTTTTGGTGGCCAAGAATGAAAAATGAAGTTGCTGAGTTTGTGGCGAAGTGTTTAACATGTCAAAAGGTGAAGATAGAGCACATAAGGCCTCAGGGAACGGTGCAGTCACTAGAAATTCCAAGATGAAAGTGGGATTGCATTTCAATGGATTTCGTGACTTGCTTACCTAAGTCAAGGAGTGGAAATGATACCATTTGGGTAGTGGTGGACAGACTTACAAAATCAGCAGTGTTTATACCAATGAAAGAAACTTGGAAGATGGAGCAACTTGCGAAAGCTTACATCAAACATGTGGTGAGGTTACATGGAGTTCCAAAAGATATTATATCTGACAGGGATTCCAGATTTCTCTCAAAATTCTGGAAAAGTGTACAAGAAAATTTTGGTACAATACTTAAGATGAGTACGGCGTTTCACCCTGCCACAGATGGGCAAACTGAAAGAACTATTCAAACCTTGGAGGACATGTTGAGAGCTTGTGTAATAGACTTCCAGGGAGGTTGGGAAGACAATTTGGATTTAATTGAATTTTCCTATAATAATAGCTACCACTCAAGCATAGGAATGGCACCATTTGAGGCTTTGTATGGAAGAAAATGTAGGAGTCCAATTGGTTGGAATGACATTAGTGAGACCATGATCCTAGGGCCTCAAATTATTGAAGACACAGTTAAACAAGTAAGGGAAATTCAAGCTAAAATTCAAGCAGCTCAAGATCGCCAAAAGAGCTATGCAGACTCGAAGCGAAGAGAAGAAGAGTTAAAAATTGGTGATAAGGTGTTGTTAAAGGTGTCACCAATGAAGGGGGTGATGAGATTTGAAAAGAAAGGAAAGCTCAGTCCAAAATACATTGGTACATATGAAATACTACAAAGAATAGGCAAGGTAGCTTATAGGTTAGCATTACCTATGGAGCTTAGTAAAGTACATGATGTATTTCATGTGTCCCAACTAAGAAGGTACATCCCTGATAAATCCCATGTGCTACAACCCGAAACCATTGAGTTAGATCAAAGCTTAACTTATGAAGAGAGACCTGTCAAGATTCTCGACAGTAAAGTGCGTAGTACACGCAATAAGAACGTGAACATTGTAAAGGTACTTTGGTCTAACCAAGAATATGAGGAAGCCACTTGGGAGGCAGAAGATGAAATGAAAAAGAAATACCCAAAACTGTTTCAGGTATGTTGAGTTACGGGGGCGTAACTCGTTTTCTTTAAGGGGGGTGGAATGCGATAGAATTTCGCGCTTTTTCCCTATGTTTTACATACTTCTGGTGCTTTTTGCACAAATTCTATCAAGTGTTTTAGGTATTAGTGCTCTCAAAGAGACACAAAGGAGTGATAAATGACAAAAAGTACAACAATAATATACACAAAAAGGAAAAGTTTTGAGATTTGTTTCCCCAAGTTTCGAGATGAAACTTGTTTTAAGGGGGGTAGACTGTAATACCCTGTATTTTTATACGTATTTTATTTAATATATATACATTTTATACGTATTTTATTTAATATATATATTTTATAAGGGTATTTAAATAACTCTAGCATTTTAATTATGATGTTTTAATTATTTATCCCATGTAAATTGGGAATATTTTACAAAAGGAGAAGTCGTTTAATTAATTAATTAATAGAAGTTGGGGTTTTATTTTAGGAAATTATGATTTTTAACAAGTTTTAGTAGGGAAGGGATTAGGAAAAACTAAAGGAGGAAAGTTTAGGGTAAAAGGGGAGATAGAGAAGGGGTATAAATATCCCTCTTATGAGGCAATTCAACGTTGCCCAGAGTGGAGAAAACCCAAGGTAAACTTCTCTCCCTTTTCTCTTTATTTTTCTCTTTCTTTTTTTTCTTTCTCTCTCCTTCCCTTCCCCTCTTGCCTTGCACACCACCACTGGCTGCCACCACCACCACCGGTGGGCCGCCGGCCACCAGCACCAACCGGCAGCCGGCAGCAGCGGCGACCACCGGCAGTGGCGCCGGCCCCCTGCTGTCGGCAGCCTCTTTTCGAAAAAAAAAAAAAAAAGGTTTTTCTTGTTTAAAAATCAAATCTTTATTACCTAAAACTAATCTATGATATAGTCTAATTATAAATTATGAGTTTGGAGATTTAATTTTGATGTTTGGTTATTGTAATTGTGTGAATTAATTTTCAGATTTGGTTTTTAATTAAAAAGCCCCAATTTTTGAAACCCTAGGTTCTTGTTTCATGATTTATTGAAAGATTATGATGTATAATAGGGTAGGCCTTTGTTTTAAGTGTTTTAAAACTATACTACAGCAAGTTTTAAGTATAATAAAGAGCTGGAATTTTATGTAAAACACTTGATATTAGGTTTCTTGAAGAAATTTTAATTACCCATTAATTGGGACTTAATTTATGGTGTTTTAAATATAATTTCAGCTTATTCTAATTAAATTATAAAGGGTTTTAAAATAGTATATATTTTTGGAAATTTGTTTAGAGTGGATATTAATACTCTATTATGGATTTAATGTGTAGGAGACTTTGAAGTAAGCGATTTCTACTAGTCGTGGCAGTTTTAATAGCGTACTCAAGGTACGTACGCGTACTTAGCATATTTCGGTGATGTAGAATCATGCTAGGTTTGTTTGTAATTGGTTATATGTAGAATCATGCTAGGTTTGTTTGTAATTGGTTATAAGTAGAATCATGCTATGGTTTATGTATGGAATTGTGAATTTATGGTGTTTGTGATTGAATTGTGAAGCATGAATTATTTGTGATGGTTTTAGATTGGAAGACTATATTTTGGGCATGTTGCGTTTGAACCACAATTTTATTTATGGCATGTTAGAAGGCATGATTAATTAAACTACATGTTTAATTATGTTTGGAATATTAAAAAGGAATTTTATTATGGTTCAAATAATTTTTATTGATGCTTAAAGCATGAGGAAGGAGCTATATAAGTGTCTATGTACACAAGGAATAAATTGTATGTTAGTGCCTTTGTGCACTTAAGGTGTTTTTAACACCGAGGGATAGGATTTTTGGCGCATTATGCGTTTAAGATGTCTTTGACACTGAGGTAGAATTAAAAAGGGTTCAACATTAAATAATATGTGGTCACTAATTATTCAAGAATTAAATTGGTATGTTTGTTTGATTGAATAATTATTGTTGATTGACTTATTATGCTTTGAGAGTCATCACCAAGTCTAATAATATGTAAATAACGTAAAGTGAAAGAGATTACGCACCAAAACTCTTGGAACGTATATACCTTGAGTATGAACAATGGGGGGGTTATGGGGTTTTATACTTAACCATAACTTCCAATGGAGTACAGGACGTTGTATATTCCTTTTTATTATTTATTATTATGCGCAGGAATTCCGCCACCTTTGTGTGG